AAATGTCCGTGTAAACCAGCTGTAAATTTCATTAAGTGTTAACTGCCTGTCAGATGATTCCATGATAGCCTGAAATGAGACAAGATACAGTGACATAAAATAATGGTTTACTAACTAGACTAGATGACACTTTCTCAACCAAGCCTTACTTTAAGCATTAATGAATTTTAATTTAATCAGGACAAGTTAATTTTCTTTCTACTTACCTGCCTTATGAGAGTTGCATAAGTAAATGGAGGTCTGACATCTGCATTTTTATAAAACTCATAGTTGGGGGCAATTTCTACAAAAAATTAAAACTTGGTGTTAATTCTGCTGGTAATTCATATTATTTATAAATTGACTTTTAACTCCCCCACCCCTTGTATTGGTGAAGCAAACCCATGGAAAAGCATTGACTAGTGAAAGCACACAGCATGACAGCAGAATTGAATTACGTAGAAAAGGCCATTTCTGACATGAAGTGCAAATGAAGCATCCTCTAGTTGTTCACTGTACTTTAGGAATGGTGTGAATAACTAGCCTGTAGGTTTTTAAAAAGCTAGATCTTCTTAAAAATGGCCACTTTCAATGAGGGCTTGATTGGACTTCTTCTGCCTTGTGGTCATCTTTTTGGTTTTTCTTATGGAACCTTTTAAAATATATGCCTGATAATTCCTTAGCACCTGGGGCAGGTCCACATTAGAAAAACAAAAAAAAACAAAAAAAACCCAAACCAAAACAAATCAACCTCACAAACTTGAGTAACATAAGTAGTTTAATTTTTATTAAAAAAGAAGATTGTGCTAAGCAGCTTCAATGGAACTGTGATTTTCCAAAGACCAGGAGGAAGGAAAAATAGGGTGGGGAGAAAGGTAAAGTTTTAGGTCATGAAAAATATAAATATCTGATAGTGCACACAAAGCAGAGCACACGAATAAAAAGGCATGATGAAGTTTCGGTAGATGGAGTGGTACCTTTAAAGCAGGGGCTGCCCCACTGAAAGCAATGGTGCTTCACATGAGTCTCATTAGATGGGTCCTCTGGCATAGCCACACTAATGATACTTTGGTCTTATCTGACATTTTCTTCTCCAAAGAGATAGAAGGATTTCATTTAATTAAAGTGAATAGGGCATGTTATCCTACCAACATGCACCTCTTATAAAAGTAATGTTTTTTAATGGGAGATGCCCACTTTTCTTGAAAGCATTTTAGAACACTTCATCAGGATGTATTTAGCGATCTATCTTATCCACATTTTTAGCCGGGATAAAACAATTATTTCTCTACAATTGATGGGGTGAGTTTCCATGTAAGTTAATTTCTGGTTGATGTAAAATTGTTCATGCTATAGTTTTTTTCTCCCAAAGTAAAAGAGCTCTACAGAGCACACAGATCCTACCTGATGACATGGGAATGTTGTATTTGTCTGAATGTCGCCTTCGTATGGCTCCCACATTGGGCACACTGGCTGGGGTGATTACTGAGGGTCCCTGGGTAATCGGGGTGACTGGGGCCGTTGGTGTGGTAGGGGTTTGAGGTAAGCTCTGTGGGGATGTCTCCAACATGTTCTTCGACATGGTGACACTAGACACCAGATTTAGCTGCAAAGGCCCAAGAGGAGGGCAGGAGAAAGGGAGAGACAAGAGAAAAAGACTTAAAAAGGTTTGACAAATGAGAGTGGATTCACTTCTACAGCTGTGTTGCCACTAATAAGCTGCAAAAGGAAGCAGCCAATCTCAACTAATTACAGGATGAAATTGTATCATAAGAACTCTAATTAGAGGATGCTGTTAGAGGTTATCTAATAATCTGCTGCAATGTTACTTAGGACTAACTCCTTCTTAGTCCCTACCAGACTTCAGAGAAAGTACGTTTCCTTTCAACAAAACCTAGTTGTTGGTTATTGACTGACTCTTGCTGTAAACAGGTCTTGCCCCTAGTGATGCAATAATAAACAACAACAGATAGACGTAAAGGACCCAGCATTCTAGGCCAACACGACTTAAAGAAGTTGCTGTTCTAATGCTGCCAGAATTTTTTCCATAGTCCCAAATCTCAGCTGAGAGGCTCCAGCCAGCTGGAAAATTTTACACTGACCTTTAGTCTCCTTGCTAATTTGGTGGAATGGTAATGACATTACTACATATTCAAACAAAATTGTCTTAATTGCAAATTAGCCGGAGGAGGCTGAAAATTTTCAAATTAAATCTGATTGGAGATGGAGAGAGGGAAATGGAATTTCCTCACTAACAATCATTTGTGGCATGTGTTAACAAATATAATGAAATGTCAAGTTTGCCAATTCCTCTGGAAGTATCATTTTCAATTTATGATTACAGTGTCACTTAATGCTGATGTACCCTGGAAAGTGGGTGTCAGGGTAGAAAAAAGGAAAAAGGTGAGAATGTATGCAAGCTGTTTAACAGTGTGCCCTTCATTACTCCCCTCAGTAAGGCCCTGTTCTTCATTATCAAAAAACTAATATCACCTCTGTCATATTTACCACACATCTTTTGTCATAAATAGCATCCAATTAACAAAATTTATACTCAAGGCAGCACATAAAAAGATTGCTGCCATATACTTAAATGATACTCATAAGAGGTAATCTACAGCCATTTTCATTTTATATGGTAATTTATAGAGCCAAGCAAGAAAACTAATATTAATTGTTCTACATCTCTATAAAGTAACTGCTGAGTGGCTAAACAGAATATTCTGCTTTTGTATATAATTTAGTAACACCTGCCTTTTCAAATCCCAAATACACTTCTTAAGATAAACCTCTTTTTAATGGGGAGAAAATGATGTGTACAGCATTGATTGATCTTTCTTTGTGGATTTGTTTTACACATTTAGTCAGTAGAGAGATTTGTTAGGGAAACAAAAATTAACATATGCCAGCTAATTGTTCTTCTTTCTTGGGCAGCAGCCAGAAGAAGCACATTAGTAGTCTAATAATAACGACTGGCACCCTGAAGGCATCCCCAAGTGCATCTGTTCCCAATAAACCACAAACTGTTATTCTGTTCGTACTCTAAGCCAGCAGACTGAGATGGGAATTCTTTGTTACGTACATAAATAAAAGCTGAGATAATGCTACTAAATGCTGCATTTAAGACGTTACAAAGCCACTGGTATGAACTACTCTAGGAGGTATGAAAATACCTCTGGCAGGGATTGGAAATGAGGAAGAGATCAGTGAATCTGCAGGATGTGCTGTAAATAATATCTTGGAAATCAGTCTTGTAACTTAAGTAATAATGTTACATTTAACATGCACTCTCAAAGTCCTGAGGAAAATATCATTTCCATCTTTCAAAACAATTCATATGAATAGGCATAGATTCACTTTTTTATGGCTCTAAGTTAGAATGAAGAGGTAGATACCAAATCTAAGAATTAAAATACAAGAATCGTAAATCAATAAAGTGTCTATCATGACGAATACTTGATGGGATGATATGCTTTAATAAAACACATCTAAAGTTACCACAGCTGTCCAAATTCTTCCTCTTTTTGTATGCAAACTACTTATGTTTACAATGTTATGCTAACTTATTCTACCAGCCTGCCATAATAAGCATAACATGTTTGTGGGCATGCAATCATGAACTGATAAAATAGAATTTATTATTAACTAAAGAAAAGCATGTAAAAGCTAGGATGAGCACTTAGCCACCTCAGCTCATCTGAATATAGTCAAGGTTGGGTGAAACTCATTATTCAGGACTCGCAGCCTTGATAACTTTGATTTTCATCCATCCATAGCATGGCCAAAAGGTACCATTTAATGAAGTACCATTCAGAGAGTAAATGGGGTCATATAATAGACAGTGCGGTTGCACCTTGTGTTCATGTACTGATAGCTGTTAAGGGTGCAGTGATGAACCAACAGAGCTCATTTCTCCTTGGTAATAAATTCATGCTATTAATATTTATCAAATGTGTGGGCCGTCTCAACTGAGCCACTGCACATGAGACCATAAATCTCTACTATCATATCAATTTTGAAGCTTCTTTTGTACAGTGTATAAATTTTAGTTTTTTTTTCCCCCCGTATTGACCACTCTTCTTTCAAACCAATTTGAGGCCAGTAGTGCAGTTCACCACTTCAGATATCTCTAGTTCCAAAGGGAACTTTAAACTGTGGTTTCATTTTAAATCGCTCATCTAAGATTCTGTATTAATTGCCCACCATCAAACGCAATTAGCAATTCTTTCATGTGTGGTTTATGTAATGTAATACTTCAATTACATTATTCATTCAGGTTCTGTTTTGGATTATAGGCTGAAAATTCTTTATTAGTGTAGATGTAACCATGCTGCTGGAGTTTTAAAAAATTTACTGATTGAATAATTAATTGGAAAAGAACAAGCTGCAGATTCCTGATGGATTTATGAGACAATTATTCTGTCTTGTGATTATCTACATTATACTATAGAAAGCAACGGGAGAAAAAAGAATCTTATTGAAAAGAAATAGCCATGTAAAAACTGGTCAGAGAAGATATACTCTAAATTTTATTAGATTTTAGGATTTTAGAGTTTAAAAATAGTCAGATGCTTACTCTTACAAAAAAGATAACCTTTTTTTCCTTTTAAACTGTGTTTCTTCTGCCCTAAATCCAGCTTATCAAAATAGTTCCTAAATCATCAACTCTAAAAAGTCAGGAAAACTCTTGCATATTTTAATTTAGTAGTCTCCATGTTAAAAATACATTGAATAAACATTTATCTATATTTAAAAGAGTATCTAAAAGTTGTTTCAAAAGATAGACTTGTGCACATACGTCCTCTACTATCCCCATCTGCAACATATGTCAAAACTTTTCATAAAATTATACAAGGGATATATGAATACTGAGATTTTCCTATTAATCATCTGGTAATTCAGCAGGTCTTCAAAAAGTTCCTCACCGACTTTCATTAAATTAGAGATTCTACACTGATTCTGTGCTCCCAATGCAAACATTAGTAGAATAAGAGAAATAAGCATATCATTTCAGACAGGATATATTTCTATTATCAGGTCACAGTTAAATCTTTTTTATTTTATTTTTGAGGAAAAACCATGGCATTTTTATATCTTTGTATTCCCTTTGGTAATATGCTTTCCTCTTCCTGAAAAGCATGTGCAATAGCATCCTATAATCAGTATGTAGAATATATTCTAACTGAAATAAAAACCATAAGAGTTGTTACAAAATTGGCTGTAAAAGCGTAGTCACATTTTTAGCAAAATGTTCTGCCAAAAAAATGTATTTATGTGTATCATGATTGAGCCAGGTCCTCTCCTGCATCCATACATCGCTCTCTATTTGTGATTTCTACTGTTACTGAAACAACTGATCTTCAAGTTTTCAAAGTGGGTTTCCTATTAATATCTGTAAACCTATCACAAAAGATATTCTGTCTAGCTCAGCTTCAAGGCAGTGATTTGGGCGCTTATAGGTGTACTTTGTTTAGTGTCTCCTATGGTGTAGATTGGATAGATTTTGTAAAAGATACCATTACTTTTAAAGAAACATACAATTTGACAAGATATTGCATTTTACTTTCAATTTATTGCCATATTTTTCATCACACTCATTGTTTTCTAACTGTCACTAAATTGTTCATTTTCTTAGTCTGTTACATCGGTAGACCTATTTACTGTTTATAAAGCAATATGCACTTACAGGTTTTGGAGATGGTTTGGGCTCTGAGGGTCGCATGTGCAAGTGGGTCATCATTGCTTGAAGACGTTCACGTTCTTTAGAAAGCTGTTAAGAAAGAGTGAGATCAGAAGCATTTTAGAAATGACTGATACAGCTATTTTATTGCAGTGATACATCTTATCATTGAGCTTGTCTCAGTGTAATGATTCCTGCATATAAAAGTCTATGTCAGTGGAAACTTATCTGTGAGGAAATGTAACTTTAGCTATGGAATTACAAAAAAAAACCCAACAAAACCAAACAACTTTTATAACCTTCTTTATGTTAAAAGGTCAGAGAAAACAAATAACACTTCATCTTTTTGTCAATAAGAGAATTGGGGTCACAGTTGCCTAGACAGTAACAAGTTACTGAGACTGTAAATTAGAAGGCCCATAGTGTCTCTTTAAAGTCCTGTAGACACTGTTAGGAATGGACTAGTGCCAACAGCTGTGAAAGGGGTGAAGGGTCCTCAAAGGGAAGTGCCTTCCAGGATTGTCTACACACTTCATCCTTTCCCGCTGAGGTCCAGTTAGTGCCCCCTGCAATCTGCCATCATCAATCTAATTCAGTAGAGTGACAGAGACCAGGCAGTGTGAAATGTTGAACTCTGCATCTACACTTGCACTGGGTCTCATTACAACTGACGGACCTTACTTTTCCATCAGTCAGATGCAGCAGAAAAAAAGAAAAAGAAAAAAAAAGGAATAATTGGTCACACTACAAGCAATGCCTTCAGTTGACCTGTTATGTTACATGATACCCTTGGTAAGTGGTAAACAGGTTTTCAAAAAGCTTTTTTTTTTCAACTACCTCCAAAAGAAAACATGATTCTCATAAAAATGAGGTTTTCATTTTCATGTATCTTCACTATTTCCTAATATAAAGTAACAAAACATTTTTGTAACCCTCTGGGACAAGACAAAACAAAATGTTTTAAAATTGTTTTAAAAGTCCATAAATAACAAAGATAAAATCTTTATTTAATAAACATGAAGCCAATGTAACCATTTGTCTGTCTAAATTTCTTATCTCAATGAAATGATGTAGGCGTTTGAATAGGAGAAGTAATTCTGTGAGATTAAAGGAGAACATAACAAGACTAATGATAACTTGTGAAATGTAACTACTTTGTGGTACGCTGTTATTTTCTGATGAGTTTCTTAGTTTTTATAGAGACAGAGTTTTCTTTAGTTTTTGGCTAAATTCAATTTAAGCACTAAGTAGATGAAAGTGAAAATTTTGTATGTTGTTGGACACTACACTATAAGCATATAATACCATTACTCAGGAAAAAAAGACTCAAGCAGGGGATATGACTTGACTAATGCAACTTGAATGAAAACAAACAAACATGCTAGAGGCAGGAAAGAAAAGCTGCTTTTTGGGGAGTGGGGATGGTACAGGGGGAGAATAAAGTTTAGTCTATCACAGATTACAGCATAAAGTCCTAAGGAAAGAAAATCAAGATGAGCTCACAAAGTTTTCTCCCTCTTAACAGCAATTCTAGTTGAGTTTTTGGTTGATCTATAAAGTAAGGAAAATTAGGTAGGGCATTCTTGCTTTGGTACATTCAAATATCCAAACAGTTAAATAATTTCTTACATTAAAAATCAACATTCAAATATCCAAACAGTTAAATAATTTCTTACATTAAAAATCAACATTAGTTTTCATGGTTTAAATTTTTTTTAAGTCCTTAAATTTTTATCATTCAATGTATCATTTATGATTAATGAGTTTTAAAAGATATATTAAGCTGTGAAAGACAAAAATATTTCCAGTTGAATTTAAGACATTCAAAAATTGAGGCTGGAAGAATTTTAATGTTGAATGACCATTTAACAAACCTGTATTTCTAACTGTTGCACAACCTGCATTTGCACCCGACACTGAGCAGTACTTCTGTCATCCAAAGCATGTTCATTGTTAAGGTGCCTAATTAAAAGAGAAAATCCAGTGAAAATTTAGCACTAAGTATTACCTATTTTCCTGTTACTGTTCTCTTTTATTCTGCCCTGCACTGATACTGGTATAGACATGCAGAAAAAATGGAGAACACTTTCAAAACTAAAAAAAGAAAACTTAAATTGTGTTTAAATGCTTAGTAAATTTGAATGTTAAGAGACTTTTTAAAGTCTAGGAGTATGACTTCTTAGGCTTATCAGTGATGACACAAAATATTTTCTGGCCCAGAAATAATAAAAATTAGTTTATGTACTAAGAGTTTTTTTTTTTTAAAGAGAGACACAATTAGATATCTTACAAATACACTAATCATAAGCAATATTTAAAAGAACAGAGGTAATCCTTCATTTAGCTTCTTATGAAATAGTTCTCAAGGCCTATGAAGTTACTGATTGTCATTTTATTTCATAAGGGTGTGATGTGACATAATGATTATAAAGAACAATACTTTTAAAATACAAAGATTTATAGAAATTGAATCATATCAACAATATTAAATGAACTGCATCACAGACTTTAGTATTAGTAGTAGTAATAATAATAACAGTGATATTTTGTCCAGAGTTCTGTATTGTGAAGAAACAGAGTTTTCTTCAATATCATTCTTTTCTGTTTACCAAGTGGCAAAGTGTAGAATCCGTTCAATTTCTAATTTAATTTTATATGAAAAAATGTTTCGATTAAGTATTTCTTGATAGTGTATTTTAGTCTATCATGGGGTGTCTCTGTGTGTAGTGTGTATGTGTACATATTACATGTGTTATACATTTATTTGAGAAATTCATTTAATGGTCATTTAATGCACTAATCATACTCTAGTACATCAACAACTCTCATTAAGTTAAGATTGTACATGTATAAACACATTTGCACATATAAAATATGCTATCTGCCTTCCAGTTCAGAAAGTTTTGAATACATTATTTACATGGTATATTATCCTTCAGTATATTTTCAGTGGTTAAACTAATGTAGGAAAGTAGGCGACACTCATGTTGATGAGCAAGGAGTCTATGCTGATGTTGAAAAGCTAATTTTTAATTATTAAATGAAAACACTTATTTGTATACATATTCATGTTTAATAAAAATTAGTAAGATTGTGCTGAGCACACTCATGTGTCATGTCCCATTGTAGCCTTACTTAATTGTCCCTCCTATAAGTCATCTCTTCCTGAATCTCTGAGACTTTGTTTTTGTACTTTTTTCATTCTGATTTATATTAGAGTTGTTAAATGTTATATTCTTCTCTTAGACTGTAAGCTCTCTGAGGGAAGGAAATGTATTTTCTTTCATCTTTTTATCTCCCCACAGTCCTTTATCAAGTGAAAAGATCTCTCTCTCTCTGTGCACAGTGTGAACATTTAATAAATATCTGTTTTATAATGAATAGTTTGAAATGCATTACCAAAGTATTACGATAAGGCACATACATAAGTAACAATGTATAGAGAAGAATGAAGATTATACTGTTAGGAAAGGTTTTTAAGTACCTGTTAGCTTCATTAGTCTTAAGTATTAAAGTTTAAAATTTTTATCAATTAGAAACATGAGGTCTGCCCTCCCATATACTTCCACAAGTGAAACGAGTTTGTTTTAAACACATTCTCACTGGCCACATCAACAAACCTCCATGTATCTTGGCAGATTTGTCAGTCTCAGCTCAGGAGAAATGTGGGACTAAAATAGCAAAGTATAATAGGTCAGGATTAAGGTTCACTGTCAGAGTAAACGAGGGGAACTTTGCCTATACCTTTCCCCTCTATGCCCAGTGCTAGTCAGTGTTGTTTTGAACCCCACTATAATGAGAAATGAAATTCACCCACCGTTTTTTAAAAAGAGAAATGGTGTATTATAGTAAATCACACATTAGTTGGTATTATAAAGATATCAGGCTAGCCAAGTTTCACTAATTAATAGGGCAAAATATAGACTTAACCTAACTTCTCCCAGCTTTTCAGAATATTTATTAAAGTCTCAATCTTAAAACAAACAAAAAATTTCAGTAAATGGAATATTTTCAATAAAAGATTGTGGTAACACATTTGGTTTTTTTCTTAAGAGCAAATATCATTGTAATCTTGTGCTATATTTGCAGTCTTATCTGAGAAGGTAAAAATATAGTCTGCTATTAGGCAAAATAATAAAGAGATAGGTTTCTCTGAAATGGCTATAGGCACATAAGAGAATTGTGGAAAGAATAAAAAGGGGGAAAGGATGCAAGGGTATGTACTTAAATACTTAGGATCAGGTATATTTAGTGACTAAAATTTTAAGTACCAAATCCTTTATAAAGAAGTTTTTTTTTTTGCACTTGTTTACTTCTTCATGATAATCCATCATCCTGTAT